GGCCCGGCCAACCTAGCGAGCCTGGCTTTCCTAGCCGCTACAGCGGCCTCCATGGTGGCAACGGTAATTGGCGATGGGTTGAACATTTCTTCAGAGGTGAAAGGCTCGGGAGGGGGTGCTCAAACTCTTCTTTGGAATCTTCCTCGGATTCTTCCTCTTCCGACGAAGAATGGTTTTCCCAAAGAGAAGAGTTGAATAGAAGGGGGATCTGAGAGAATCTGTCGTAAGTCGGCACGTAGTCGAGCAGGGTATGCGTCGCTCACTCAACAAGGTCACAAGACCAAACCCTTAGGAGGTTGAAAAATCTGACTTGAGACCTCAAGGGTTGAGCGGCGTCCCGGCGATATCCTTCTAAAAATACAAATAGCCGAGGTCAGTTCCAATGATAGCGAGATCGGTACAAGTCTAGAAAAGGGAAAAACACACATTTATCTCTCTGCACTTTGGGACAATACAATCCGACATACTTGGGCCTCTGTCCCTTCTCCTAACTGTCGTCAAGCATGATCAGATCATCTACATACCCCTTGTCCGAGCCGGGTATGTGGGTTACCAGATACATCGAAGTATGTCAAGCCTGGAGGTAATGTCTTCCCCCGACAACTAACCTTAAGTCATAACAAAATAAAATTTTATCTACTCCTATGTCTGTCTCCAGCCGAGCATTTAAGGCGACTACGCCCATCACAATTCTAAAGAAATTAACCCCGCATTGAAGGGGAAAGAGCTTCAGTTGCATTATCATCTTCAGCAACAAGGGGTGAAGAGGGAAGGTTAACCCCCCTTCCATGATGACCTTGGTCCAAAAAGACATAATGTATGCACTTCCCACATCCCTCCTATGATGGGTGGGGTTAAAAAGGCAGGCGAGGACAAGCTCAATGATGTGGTATCTAACCCTGAAGGATTGGATGTTCTCGTCAGTCACTGGAGTCCTCCTCAACTTGGGGTTAGCCCTAGCCCTGACAAGTGCCTCCCCCCTGGTTCTACTGCTTCTAGTCATTGGTGGGTTTTGAAAGGAAGAAATGAGAAAAAAGCATGAGAAGGATTACTTACAGGAAGACTTCAAAGAGGAAACTCGGAGAAGAACAGAGGAATGCTCGGAGGCTAATTATTGAAGGGAAGTTGAGGATGCAAATGTTTTGAGAAGACATGAGCACCTCCTATTTATACTGCTTTACAAGGGGCGGGAATCGAAAACTTGAGTCGTCATTAGGGGATTTAAAAAGGGCGGCGTCAGGCGTCCAGGTAATCGTCGCTATTAATGAGGCATGTTTATTGGGCCTCCAATCTCTTTATGCCACTTGTCCTACGCTGCAAAAAAGAATGGAGGCTAGGGGCAGTTGGCAGGACTCTAGGTGGCTCCACAGCCCCCAGATTGACACGTGGAATGACGAAGCTGTTGTGATGTCCAAGAGGCGCAGAGGGGAGTAAGCCGAGGTATGGTGTCCCGATGGAGCCGAGTAAGACAACTGACACCGCATTTAATACGATGTGACCTCTCATTTATAGCAGAATGAGTGATGGTGACAAAACTATTTAAATGTGCGCCTGCGAGTGCCTACACTCTGAGAGTCTAGCCCTACTATCATGATGGCTAAATATTGATGGCTACTACACCGAGTATATACGATTAGCTTTTCCCGAGGAACTGTTCCCCCCGGGTATTCAATGCTCAGTTGCGGGTGTCAGACGTCGATTTGAGGGATGTGGATACTCAGGGAAGGACATAAATGCTCGGCATGGTGCTGAACACTTGTCCCAACATTAAGTAGGAGAAGACTTGAGTGGAGAACACTCATTGCACAAGGAGTGGCATGTCAAACATTAAATGTCCAAATGAGACTAGAGGTCTTTGGCAATCATTGTCAATTCAGATATAAATACTTCTCAGAAAAATGAATAAAAGTACGCAAAATTGAACCAAAAAAATATTTATTAATTGAGCTTAAACCTCGAATCTTAAGACTGACTTAAGTTTCGGAGAGGATAAGCCGAGTGTTTACCTGACCCCCTTTTTTCTGACACTATGATTGTTTCAGGTTCATTAGGTTAGAGATCGCTATCTCAAACTATTGCAGGAATTATCCCGTGCAGTTTCTATCCTAGTTATTTAGATACATATTCTGGACTTTTTGAACTTTGGGGGCAGTCTCTGAGTATGTGAATGGTAGGCTCATTTGATTCCAGTGAGTATGGTATCAACCCTATGTAGAATTCAACCAAAATCGGCTTGCAAGGAGAGGGTATTCAACCAAGAATATCGACACACATCCAAATTTATACTTGACCAATTTGAGATCGTAATATACCGTTATGCTTTTCTAGTAGAGACAACCACGCCATCGACAAACAACCCTTTTTTTATTGAAATTAAAATGAGAGAAATTTCATTAAAATTAATCAGTAAATGAAGCAGATGTCAAAAAAAAAATCAGGGATTCAATACATTAACAAAATTAGGAAAAATTACACTCAAACTCTTTGAAATTTGTCACTTAATCACTTAGATTCTCTGTCATTTAAAATATTACACTCAGACCCTCTGAGATACATACCGTTAATATTTAGTATATCTATTAATAAATTATATTCAGACCCCCTAAAATTTATAGACGTATAACACTTAAACTTCTCAAACTTAAAATATTACACTTAGTTCCCTTGTTAGTTATGTAACTAATGGAATCTATTAAACGATAAAATTACCTCAATTAAAGATAGAAGAGTTCTAATTTGAAAAATCCATTTAGTCCAAGTTTAACCCATCATGTCAAGAGTTATAATTTAAATGTGATTCTACATATCATGGATAAACTAAATTTAACTGCACATATAACATCAAATAAGCGTATAAAGATAAAGATTTAATCCTAATCTTTTTATGATTGACTAGATCTTCAATCATCATCCCTAGATTCCCTACACAATTCAAACTGTCGAAACTCTTATAGATAAATGCTCTAGGTATGTCACTTCTAGTTTCTAAACATAGTTTATACCTTTGAGTCACTAATTTAGGCATCGGAGAGCCAACCCCCAGAGCTCCCCTTAGGTGTCCGATTTTTTTTTTCAGGTGATCAAAATCGAACAAATTGACGTGGAAGTCGTCCACGTCAATTTTTGCTCATATGATGACTAAAATTTATTATCAAAATTTTTATTTCAAGTGATGTGACACAATTTTTATTATCAATATAAATAGATCCTGATAATACACAAAAGTGGGTTTATACAAAATCAATAAAGGATAAAGTAAGAGGGCTCAACACATGCAAACACAAAAATTAAGTGATTCGGTCTAGATGACTTACTCCAATGAGAATGACTACGGTGGCTGAAAAATCGTATTACTCAAGAGACGAAGTATGTTGAGATGTGTAAGACCCCTATGCGTAGGTGAGACTTACAATTTATAAATGAGTATATTCTTTATGGCACCTCAAGAGCGGGCATTGACGGAGGTGCCATCATGGGAGCCCTGATTAAGGCGTCACCCTTGTGATGGAAGTAGGTGGCTCCGTGCTATTGGCGTAACGAATGAGGTGATTGAAGCTTGCGATGCAAACCTTGATCTTCTTTCTAAAATGGAGATTTCACGTACGTCATTTGTAGATTGGGTTTTTCAAGGTGATTGACTTTGTCTTTGTTGGCTTGTATTTCTAATCTAGGCTTGACTGCACCTTTGACTTGGGCCTAGTCTCGGTGGGGCTGCACTTGTTACCTAACCCTGGTATGTATTTTTAAACTGGGCTTTTGAACTGTGCTTGTCTATAATTTTGAATTGGGTCGGGCGTCAAATCTTATTAATATTTAAGTATGGAGATTGTATCATATCACTTAAAATGTAAAACTTGGTAAGCATAATATTCATGTATTTAAACAGGGTAATAAAATTAGGAAATTATAACATTACTGTATTTTACAGGGTAACAAAATTCAGAAAGAAACGAGCCAAATCTACGAATAGCACAAGTTCGAGGGACTAGAAAGCAATTATCCAAACATCACCTTACTCTCGCCCTATAATAACCATTCTCGATGTGCTTTCACCGCCTCGGTTTTTCTCCTCCCGCTCAGCAAGAAGTCGCATCCGCCTCCTCTCTATCTCTAGTTTCTTAATTTGTCGATCTGCAGGTAAAAAAATAAAACAATCTTCGTTAAGTGTCTGTATAGAGTGGTTTGTATGGTCAATCAAATTTACTTAAATTTGATTTTGTTTTCTAATTGCGCGTTCATGTTCTTTTGAGGGTTTATTGCTATAAGTCTGTTTATGTTCATGGATATATATACATTTGTTGGTGTTAATGTCGATGCTGAGGGTTCAAGTTTTAGGGTTTTTCCGGAGAGCAAGTGTTAGGGTTTTTACTTTCCGAGGAAAAAGTTTTAGGGTTTTTGGGGAGACCATTGAAATTTTGTGAAAGATAGGTTTGATGGTTTTGTGATTTGAGGGCTTGTGGCCCGGTGTCTATGCTTTAAGTTGATATTTGTATTGGCTTATTTGGACAAGTTTTGCTATCCGTGGTTGATGAAGAACAATATGTATACGTGGAATAACTAGAAAATATAAGTGGTTGGGTTTGTGATTCGTGGCAGTTATCCAATGTTGTTTAAGTTTTTGAGCTTTTGATTTATCTTTTTGTGTGATTTTGGGATCTAAATTAATTTATTTTAAATGGTGATAGATTTCCTCACGTTTTTTGGAGTGTCACAGCATTTTTTTAAAGTTTATGTGTTCTGTTTTATGCTTATTGAACTTTTATTAATCTTCTTGTGTTTTTGGGTTATTATCAGCGGTGTTTGTGGTAGAGCTATATTATGCTGAGGTCTTCTTGTAGATATTCATAGTCTATGGGGGCAGAACATCATTATTATTTTCTGAATTTTCTTGCTACATAAAGCTGAGGTAGTTGGAAATTTGTTTCTATTATGTGGTTCCTTCGTTTGTCCTAAGCCCTTTCAGATGCTATTCTGGTTGGCAAGTGAATCTGACTGTTTACATGGTTCCAACTTCCACCTATTCTGCCATGTATTGCTTTCCATTAGCATCAGGTAATTGCTCATTGGATGTGATCATAGAGCTTTGCTGGTATTGTGCAACATGCTTTTATTTTTTTGGGGGTATCTGGCGTATAATCTCTTTTGTTGTTTGTATTTTTTGGAAGGTTTGCTGTTTATATTTTGGATAACATAAAAGTTGAAGTTTGTGTGATGCACAGCCCTTTTAGTTTTCATATTTGGCACCATAGTATGGGTGGTNGGGCCTAGTCTCGGTGGGGCTGCACTTGTTACCTAACCCTGGTATGTATTTTTAAACTGGGCTTTTGAACTGTGCTTGTCTATAATTTTGAATTGGGTCGGGCGTCAAATCTTATTAATATTTAAGTATGGAGATTGTATCATATCACTTAAAATGTAAAACTTGGTAAGCATAATATTCATGTATTTAAACAGGGTAATAAAATTAGGAAATTATAACATTACTGTATTTTACAGGGTAACAAAATTCAGAAAGAAACGAGCCAAATCTACGAATAGCACAAGTTCGAGGGACTAGAAAGCAATTATCCAAACATCACCTTACTCTCGCCCTATAATAACCATTCTCGATGTGCTTTCACCGCCTCGGTTTTTCTCCTCCCGCTCAGCAAGAAGTCGCATCCGCCTCCTCTCTATCTCTAGTTTCTTAATTTGTCGATCTGCAGGTAAAAAAATAAAACAATCTTCGTTAAGTGTCTGTATAGAGTGGTTTGTATGGTCAATCAAATTTACTTAAATTTGATTTTGTTTTCTAATTGCGCGTTCATGTTCTTTTGAGGGTTTATTGCTATAAGTCTGTTTATGTTCATGGATATATATACATTTGTTGGTGTTAATGTCGATGCTGAGGGTTCAAGTTTTAGGGTTTTTCCGGAGAGCAAGTGTTAGGGTTTTTACTTTCCGAGGAAAAAGTTTTAGGGTTTTTGGGGAGACCATTGAAATTTTGTGAAAGATAGGTTTGATGGTTTTGTGATTTGAGGGCTTGTGGCCCGGTGTCTATGCTTTAAGTTGATATTTGTATTGGCTTATTTGGACAAGTTTTGCTATCCGTGGTTGATGAAGAACAATATGTATACGTGGAATAACTAGAAAATATAAGTGGTTGGGTTTGTGATTCGTGGCAGTTATCCAATGTTGTTTAAGTTTTTGAGCTTTTGATTTATCTTTTTGTGTGATTTTGGGATCTAAATTAATTTATTTTAAATGGTGATAGATTTCCTCACGTTTTTTGGAGTGTCACAGCATTTTTTTAAAGTTTATGTGTTCTGTTTTATGCTTATTGAACTTTTATTAATCTTCTTGTGTTTTTGGGTTATTATCAGCGGTGTTTGTGGTAGAGCTATATTATGCTGAGGTCTTCTTGTAGATATTCATAGTCTATGGGGGCAGAACATCATTATTATTTTCTGAATTTTCTTGCTACATAAAGCTGAGGTAGTTGGAAATTTGTTTCTATTATGTGGTTCCTTCGTTTGTCCTAAGCCCTTTCAGATGCTATTCTGGTTGGCAAGTGAATCTGACTGTTTACATGGTTCCAACTTCCACCTATTCTGCCATGTATTGCTTTCCATTAGCATCAGGTAATTGCTCATTGGATGTGATCATAGAGCTTTGCTGGTATTGTGCAACATGCTTTTATTTTTTTGGGGGTATCTGGCGTATAATCTCTTTTGTTGTTTGTATTTTTTGGAAGGTTTGCTGTTTATATTTTGGATAACATAAAAGTTGAAGTTTGTGTGATGCACAGCCCTTTTAGTTTTCATATTTGGCACCATAGTATGGGTGGTTTGCTGTGAATTGAATTGATCATTGCCATGGTGTTGTTTTTCCTTTTTTTTTTTCTCCTTTGTATGTGAGCTAAAAAATTGTGTATGATTCGGGTGTATTTTTCCTTTTGTTGTGAAGGACCTGTTACAATCCATTAATTTTTTTTCGAACATATATATATTTTTTATAAAAAAGCATTCACGGTGAGAAGTTTGTAACTATTTTAAATTGATTGATGAAGAGATGTACAATCTATTATTTTGTGCTTCACACCTCACAATTCACATTGCTACATTTTTAGTTGTGGTTATCATATGATCTTGTTCCAAATGGAGAATGTAGATGGTGACTGTTTATATTGTTACCCATGTTAATCATTGGATGGTGATATATGATTGAACATTTTAATATTATTGGATATTCATATTAATTTGTTTCTTTTTGCATTGCTTACCCAGCAAATGGCTGAGGAAAACATAGAAGCGCCGGATATGAGTGAGGTGGGTGATATGCCTGAGAACTTGCATCCTCTGGAAACAGAAGGGGCTGAAAATGATTTCGGAGGTGGTGGAGAAAATAAATGGCCTGGATGGCCTGGAGAGAATGTTTTCAGGATGTTGGTTCCTGTACAAAAGGTTGGCGGTATCATTGGACGCAAGGGAGAGTACATTAAGAAAATTTGTGAGGAAACAAAAGCTCGTATTAAGATTCTGGATGGTCCTCCTGGAACTACTGAAAGAACTGTGAGTGTTTTATATTTATTAGGTTATATGTATCTGTTTTCAGAATGTTGTGAGTAAATTACCTTGGTGTCTGATCACGTGAGTATCTTGCCGGTATGTCTGCTTAATGGTCTTGTGCAAACATAACCCGTGGATATGAGTCAACCAAATTGTGTTAACTAATATTTGATTCGGTTTTGGTGCATGCTTAATTTTTTTTGTCAGTCCCTTTTCTGTTTTTCAGGAATTATCATTTATATTTCTGCTCTCTCTCATTCTTCCTCTCCTCCCTCTCTGCATATTTCTTATTTTGCAATACCATACTATAAAGTGCCATATTGGTTTCTAAGCTACTTTGTCATGTTTCAATCTATTTGATGTTTTGCATAACCTAGTTATATCCTATGAAGTTTCTAATCTTTGGATTAACAGCATAAAGTAGATGCATGAAGCTTCTTATTACTCTTAAATCCGTTGTTGTGATTGTGACTATCGTTATTATCAGATGTTTAAACCTTCGTCCTATAAGAGGGTTGTTTCACTATTTCTTGTAAGTGATTCTTCTATTATTGTCTAGAGAAGTTTCGGAAGCTTCTAGTGCCATTGCTTATCCCCGGCACTTATTGGTTGCGTCAGTTTTGGGAGTGATTAGACTTAAACATTAAATGGAACTTAACTTATCAATAACAGCAACAAAAGAATTAAAAGGTATCATAATGGACAGGAAGGATAATCATCTACAAAATAGTTATTTATACTCCTCTGGCTAAAATGATTAGTTAAATAATGGTCTAGGGATGTAGGACAATATGATAAAACAGAAAATATCAAAGTGTATCCAACAGCTTAATATGAAGAATGTTTATTCTTCCTCACAACTTGAATGATATAAAAGAAGTGTATTCGTCAAAGTAATCCAAATAATGTAAAAAAAAGTGTATGTATCAGAATAACCAGAATGAATGTGTGCAGGTTCTCGCAAATATAAGCCAAATTTCAATTGCCAAAGTGGCTTCAAATTAGAAGCAGCAAAGATCCAGATTGCAGTGATCAGCATTGGGCTTAGTGCTGAAAGTCCTTCTGACTTAACTGTCAGAAGTACCTTGTGCAGACATGGTACCAAGAAGAGTGGCAATATATCTGGTAACTTCAGAACTTGGTTGGTTGGTGTCTTGCCACACATTGTTAAACTGCTACAAGAATAATCTGACCAATGGAACTAATAAGATGCAGTGCCCTATACAGCAAGATGTGTCCCACATTGTTGACTAAGCACAAACTGTTACTTTATAAATCCTGTCTGAAAGTTCTTAGTGATGTAGGATGGATCTGATCCTGTCTATGTAAATTCCACATGAACTATCAAATAAGATTTAATCATGTCATTTAAAAATCAGTGTCGGGAATTTCAGCCAAATACCATCCGTTAAAAATTAGCTAAAGTGTAACATGAATCAAATGGTTTCAGTTACATCTAGCATAAAATATTTTAAGATCTCAAACATGCATGTTGAACTACTTATACAAGAATGAGCCGTGTGAATCCAAGAAGACAGTAGAATTAGATTTCCAAATTAGCAGTGGTTCAAAGATACAATGGCTGGACAAGTTGAAAGGCGTATTTGTATTTAAACTGACAGATATTATTTAGTCTGAAAGTGTTTGTTATTATGTTTCTTATTGGCAAGTCATTTCTTTTCCACTGTGTGAAATGGATTTGTGAAGATTCCCTAAGATTCTATAACAGAATGAGTAGGTGCAAGGACTGTCTTAGTTGTAACCTTGTTTTGCAATTATAGGTGATGGCGCAAAATACTTTTCTATGCTAAAACATGAAAGATTGATGTTCTTAGAAAGTTTTTGGGAATATTGTTACCTCCTCCTGGGATTCCTATTCAATAACCATTCGAGCAAGATCATGTAGCTTAACATTCAAGAGAGATTTATATTGTAGGTGTGATATTATTTTATTTTTGCCAGTGACCATGGTCTGGTGTTATCAAGAATGGGGAATGGGAGTGGTGGTGGATGAGACTCAAATTCACTTCCACATCATTTGCTTGTAGTCATAAACTATTCTTCTTTGGATTTTTTTGGTTTTCTAATTAACTTGTGTTCTTTGGCATTATGTTTCATTTTATGGTAGATATTTTGTGCTATTAGTAGTCTTGTCTATTCTGAAAAAATAAATCCTTTCGTAATCTCTTGACAAGTTCACTGAAATAGCTTACCCTAATAAACCTTGCATTGGGGTGATATGAGGGTGTTAATTGATTGTGCAAATGAAGCATTCTTAATTCTCTCTACAAGTTCACTGACAAAGATGGACCCTGAATCCTTTATTGTTTGTCAGTAAGGTTGTTTTTAAGGGTCTTTTGAATGCATAATTGTATTAGTTCATCTTGAAACGGCAACTGTTGTTCTTTCCCAGTCTGTTATCATATGATTCGATGATGTTTAGAATGTTTTTATCCAAATTTTGCTTCTAAATGAAGAGAGATGGACTAACAACAGCTTTATTGTGTGCTACTGCTACATTTATGCATGATTTGTGGAGTGTGCCTGGGGATGTTGTAATTATCTATGTTGTTGAACTATATAAAGTGCAGTGGATTATATTAAAGTTATCCCTGGATCAATATTGATGTTGATGTAATTTTTTTAATGATCAGCGTGGAAGATGATTTATCCACATGAGTAATAGATTTGATGTGTTTAATAATTATTTTGACTCCTTTGAGGAGACTCCTAGTTTCCAATGGGACACCATATTTTTTGCGTGTATATATATATATATTATATTATATTCTGTTTTTGTGTGTGTAATAAAGACGTATTATGGCATGCCTTTATTTTTAGATGTTACAATCAGATCTGGTTACTACACTGTACAATCATGCGAAGGTTGGGTTAGTCATATGGTTTGCAAAATGGATCAGACAAATAGCTTTGTGGGTACTGTTGGCTTCCTCCTGTCTTGTATTTTATGCATCTCATTTCACGTTTACGTGTTTTTTCTCTTTGATTATGGTCCTAGTATTTTTCAATTTTCCTTTCTCTCTCCTTTACTATCTATTTAGGACGAGGCCTCTTGAAGGGAAGTTTTTCTGGGGCAGTGATATGGAGGTTTTCTATTCTTTACCTCAGCATTGAGCATTATTCATCTACCATCTGTCTACTACTGTCCTCTACTATGGTATCCGCTTTGGGGGCCACCGCTCTAAACAGCATCATCTGTCCCCCCTTGCCCCAGCCCTAGCTGCTCCCTCCGCCTAAAACATGCACACATGCCCTCCTATATGCGTGGGTGGGCAGATGAGTGCGTACACGTGCATGTGATTTCTCACACATCCATGGGAATGCCTCCTTGGAAGAGACAAGACCATTGCCCACTGACCTGCAAGTCTGTCCATTTAACTTCTAATATTTTTGCGTTCGTGTGCACATATCATTTAGTATAAATTGGTTGCTGACCAAGGAATCTGTATATGATTGACATTTTTTTTGGTGAATTTTATGATGACCGTAGCGTATTACAAAAAGCTAGCTTGATTAGTTTATGTCTAATCAAAATAGTAGTCAAGGTTTTATTAATAACGAGATTTAGTATAAACACATCCTTAGAAGAACATGCAATAAGTGATCTTTTGCTTTTTTCATTCAATCGTTCAGGTTAAGGTTGCATCTATATATACACCATACTATTAATTCTGCAGTAATTAATTGTTGGATTTTATTCTTTGTTAGGTAATGATTTCTGCAAAGGAAGAGCCGGATGTCACTATTCCTCCTGCTGTGGATGGATTGCTAAGGATTCACAACCGCATCGTTGATGCAGACACTGATCCAACTCATGCTATAGCTGGTGGGACAGTTTGCACAAGGCTACTTGTGGCGGCTACACAAGCTGGAAGCTTAATTGGGAAGCAGGGTGCTACTATTAAGTCTATTCAAGATGCTTCACACTGTACAATCCGGGTGCTTGGAGAAGGTGTCTTTACATTAAATGTTATTATATCCCATTTTGTATTTATTTGGTTCTTTTTTTTAGCATGATGAAAGAATAGGGGCTTGTTTGGTTTGCATTTCAAAAAACAATATCTGAAAACTATTTTTGGGAAGAATTTTAAAAAAGTATTTTTAAAAATTTTTAGATTACAAAACTTGTTTGATTATATATTTTTGAAAATAGTTTTAAAGAACAAAAATTATAAAATTTGTTTGGACAATAATCTACAATTTTCGCTCTCACTTCAACTCTTTGTCTCTCTCTCTTTCACTGTGCATCAAGACCCACAAAGCGCCAGTAAAAACTGAAACCAACAAAGCAACCACCACCAAAACTCATAACCACCCAAAAGCCACAACCACCACCGAAACCCACAATCACAGGAAGATCTGAAGCTTTGCCGGAGATATCTGAAGAAGATTTGAAGCTTTAGCGGAGAAGATCTGAAGCTTACTCTCTGATCGTTCTGTCTGAGGGGCAAAGTGGAGAGAGAGAGAGAGAGAGCTGGAGAAGACGGCCTTGTGTGTCTTCGTTCTGGAGAGAGAGCTGGAGAAGACGACCTTGTCTTCGTTCTGTTTGGTGGGCAAAGTGTAGAGAGATAAAGAGGAAGAAAAAAAAAAAAAGGAAGGAAGCTTTGCTGCGAAGGAGATTTGAATGGCAAACCTCATTAAAGAGGTGTTCTTCGTGTTTCCATAATTTTCAAATAAAAGTTTGAAAACAAGTGTGACTTGTTTTCTATTTCTTTACTCTAAATCTTATTTTTTTTAAAAAATTTGAGAACAAAAATACTAAGCAAACAAATTTTGGGTGTTTTTGAAATTTTGAGAACAAAAAACTGTGTTATAGAACATAACCAAACACGCCCTAGAACTCTTTTGATTTATATGATTTTTGTTTGAAGGCCTTATTTTCTATGGTAATTTATGCTTTCCCATTCATATATATTTTAAAAGAACCTCACTTTGCGCCCATGTCATGTATCCCTCACTTTATCTCTGCTAAGTATCATGCCTGTGTCATAAAAATTATTGTTCCTATGATTCTTGACAATATTTGAAATTCTTTCATTGTAAGTTAAGAAGCATGAACACTCTCAAGGAGGTTTATTTGAAATTTGCTTCGCAGAACACTCTTGGATATGTGCCTGGTAATCTTTTAGCCTTCTCCATAATTAAAAAATAAAATCTATTTGGCCCTGTGTCTGACACTCTTTTGGTGACGTGCTTAATGCTTTTTTAGGTGGTGTGTATAGCCAGAAAATAAGCTTGTGTCGACATGTAATAAACAAACCTAGAAATTTTGATAAATGACTTATCTCAAACCACAAAAGAATAATCTTTTAAACTAATCATATTAAAGTTTTATTTAGAATTTACTGATAAAAATGATAGTTTGCTTTCCCCTATATGTATTTTCTCTCCTTCCTTATAGTTGAAAGATGAGAGCAATCATTATAATTATATATGTTGGCAAGTGGCAACATATTGCCTATACAAATTGAGGATTATTGCCCACAATGATCCTTTAATCAAAAAATTCCTATTGCAGGTATACGGCATAAAAATCAGTTATCATAAAGTACTGATTGCAGCTGTGTGATAAATTGTAGAAATAAATGAATAAAAACAATTTTGAAGCGTGTCCCTAACATTGCCTGTGTCCTTTTTCTTCCTTAGAAATGTTGTGTCCGTGCTGTATCGTATATACGTATCTATGTATCGTGTTGGTGCTTTTTAGCTTGCAAGTAAAATTTACATGAGGTACTGGAGAAGATAATGAATCAACATGACTTGAGACCAAGTTCAATTGGATATATCCATCAGGTTTCCATTATGCTGCTCTAAGAAATAGTCCAAACATCTAAGAGCCTTGTGTTGTTCTTTAATAAAAGAAAGTGATATTGCTATACTAGAATGCATGTCAACTACAAGTTCTGAAATATCCAGAAAATATTGGATATCTGTTTGAACTTGGAAAATGATTATCCAACCGTGGATACGGTTAACGAACTATTAAACTGTAGTACAGGGGGTATTGGTATTTGATATGTTGTTATGTCGCTTGCAGAAGGATGCACATTTTATACCGTTTTTTTACTTGGTGCCCTGTTTACTTGTTCAACAATTTGTGGAAATATGTTTTCAGCTTTGGCTGCATGCACGATAATATGCCAAGGGGACTATTTTGAATCATTTAATTGTCATTTTAACCATGATGGTTTACATGATTGGTATTTCTTTCTGAACTCATGACTTTGGAGTGATGAAATTATTCTGTACTAACATTCAAACGATTCTCTGCAGAAAACCTTCCAGTTTTTGCTCTACCGGATGATAGTATTGTTGAGATACAAGGAGAGGCCACTGGAGCGCACAAAGCAGTTGAATTGATTGCAACCAATCTGAGGAAATTTTTAGTTGATCGTAGTGTGATTGGAGTTTTTGAAATGCAAGTAAGTTTGCCTTTAATGTGTTCTTCAGACAGCATAAGGTTCTTAAGAGTGGGAATCCCCGAGCTTTTGTGGATGTGAGGTTGCCATGTAATAAGTGGATCTTGACTACTGAGTTGAAATCTTCTCGATTATAGTTGCCTTTAGTGTATTTGTTTGTGTTTTGACAGGTTTAGATCATTAGACATTATTAAGTGTGCTGCAACTCAAAAACCTGCCAATTGTGTTTGTGCACTTCACTGAAAACAAAATGATTTTTTTTGTTTTTTGATAAGAGACTGACATTTTATTAAGGGAAAGTAGTACAAAAGGGAGCAATGAGGGTGAAGAAGGGGTCCAAACCTCATTTCAAATAAACAATACATAAGAATATTTGCTGCATAACTATGAGGTCACAAACAGCTCCCTGCCCAGCTAAGATTCAAGCTGAAATTTAAACTTGCAGTTAAGCTAGGTTTATAATTTTTATCCAAGAAGTAGCATTGGTAATTTGATATAAATAATAAATGGTAATTTGGTAAGTTGAACCTAGCCCAAACTAGGTTTTTTTAAAATGCATATCCCTCCCTCCCATGATAAAAAGTTTGACAAATGGTGTGAGGGTTCCCTACTTGGAACACAAGGCAATTAAAATATATTATTGGCCTATTTATTTCATCTCAAGGTGATTTGCAGCCTATTAAGCCTAGTGGGCTGGGACCTAGGAGTGATGTTGCCATTGTGTAGATAGCAAAAGCTTGTTATGACCTTATTTTTTCTTATCTTGAAAATGTATATTATTTTTGGTTCTCTGGTCAGATGCAAATGCCGAATGCTCGAACAAATCAGAACATGCCCCCACCCCAATCCTGGGGTGGTCCTCCTCAAGGTTTTCCAATGAATGCTGGTGGTGGACCTGGTTTTGCACCTAATCCTCAGTATATGCCTCCTCCACGCCAGTTTGACAATTATTATCCATCAGCAGACATGCCTCCTTTGGACAGGCAACCTCCTCAGGGGCCGCCTGCATATGGCAGAGATGCATCTATGGGAGCTCATGCAAGTGTGCAGCCACAGCAGTCAATGGTTACAAAGGTATATCTTATCAAAAATGGTTAGAAGGGTATAAAATCCTTAGGTCTGTTTTTCTTATATTATCATATAAGATGGTGAATCAATTATCACTTATTGTGTGTAAAAAAAACTTGATGGCAGTTGTAGACCCACTAAAAGAAGGGATTGGTATAAGTTTGATGCCACTACTATATCAAATTTGTATAGATGCTTTTGGTTAAAACATTGAAAACTGTTGTTGTGCTAAAGGTGGTACTGATATGCTTCTGAACACTGTTTGCACGTCAGTAAAAAAGTATAGGCTGTATTAAACTACATACTTTTCAAAATCTTTCTAGAAGTTATGCGGAGGAAAATTGCATACAAAATCTCGATGTTGAATGACAATTGTTAGATGTGTATGAGAATTTTTTCGTGGATGAAAAACTTGAAGAAGCTAAAAGCTGAGTTGAAATTGGGCATTGTTTTATTGGATACTTTGTTAAACTCTGTTGTTACTAAGTTTTTTTAATGATAGATTAAGTAGTTAAACTTCGGAGTTGCATCCCAAAAAATTACACTCCAATTGATGTCTCTGCAAAACCTGAAGCTGCTTTGAAAGTGTCTATTATAGAAAGGATTTATTGGGTCACAATTAATAGTATTAGATCTGCCTGGTGGAAATGTTGAGGAACCGTTTCAATTCGGTATCATCAGCAATTTCTCTGCTCCATACTTGATTGATTTGTTCTAAGTTATTGGGATTACAGTTATTGGTGCTAAATTTTTTTCTTTTGTTTTATAGGTCTCGCAGAATATGCAAATTCCTCTATCATATGCAGATGCTGTTATTGGCACCTCTGGTGCAAATATTAGCTATATTCGTCGTGCCAGTGGTGCAACTATTGCAATACAGGAAACGAGGGGTGTTCCTGGTGAGATGACTGTGGAAATAAATGGATCAGCAGCGCAAGTTCAAACAGCTCAACAGTTGATACAGGCATATTTTGATTAATCCATCACTTTTTTTGAACTATCTGGTTTTGGCTTTATGTTTGGTTTTGATATGATTCTTGGTCCCTTATTTTTTGTGTTAGAGTGTTCTCTGAGTTTCACTTTTTTTTTGTTCTATTTCTTACATACCACCTGTTCCTAATTTTATGTCCAAGGACTGGAGAAAAATATTCAATATAACGGTTATCATCACCGCCGCATGGTGTCACCATCCAATAAAAGATTAACAAACGAGCAATTGGATCCCACATGGTAACCACCCCTACATGTAACATAATACCTACTCCATGTATAGAAGTGGGTTCATGTGGTAATTTATTATTGAATGGTGATACCACATGGTGGTGATGACATTGTATTACTGTTAAATTGAATATTTTACTCCAAGGACAGACTCCCCCACCCGGTAAGTAAGCATTCTTGTTGATTTCTTTTATAGCCTCCTGTGTTATGGTCACTATTCAGCCTTTCCCGAAGCATGATTTGTCAATTGATGTCCTCCGACAAAATCCATTTTCTCGAATTAATTGTAACTTTGTTGGATCAAAGCTTGTATTTTTTTTTTTTTTTGATAAGAGATCAAAGCATGTATTTAGGTATGTACATATGCAAAATAATATCCAGGAGTAACTGAATAGGGTGTGCTGCTATAATAATTGTCAGGACTTCATATGGTCGTGAGAGAAAATGGACTTTTCTCTACTGTTCCCTTTCATCTGAAATATTGTTGTGTTTGTGATTTATTTTCTTCTTAGTTTCCCTTGTTTGCATCCGAAATCTGAGTTCTAGCATAACTGCTGGGATTGCTTGTGCATCTTTTGGTTTGTATGTCAATGTATTAATTTCCTTAGGCGCAGTCAAAATAATTACAAATGTCACGTCATTAACTTACATTCTTCATAGTTTATGATAATATGGTGCATCTTTCACTGTTATAAGCTCAAATTTAATATATATTTGCCATCATATTTGTTAATTTTTTTTGGAGTTTACCTTGTCTTTGGTGTCTCTGTTTTTGTGTACGATGTCACTCCTTGGTAAATTAGCTTTATCAAGTCTGGTATTAGTACTTGTTCCTTGAAGAATATGATTGTGGCATAGAATGTATCTGTTTTAATTTCTCCTCTTTTGCATGCTGCAGAATTTTATTGCTGATGCTGCAAATGCTACACAGAACCATACTGGTGGACCACCTGGCCAAGGTTATAATTCATATCATCCTAATGGTCCTGTTTATGGATCTCCACCATCTGGTGCCACTGGCCATACCGGCCATGCACCAGCTGGAGACTATGGTTCTGTCTATGGAACCAACTATGGTTATTAAAGAAGCTGATATCCAATCTTGGACTGGTGGGAATTGAATTTGGGACGATTATTTGTGCCTTGTCATTTTTAGGCAGGAATACCAGATGATTGTTGGCAGGAAATTTGTAATGTTATATTGAGATAGTTATAGTGAGGAAAATTAATGTTCCTTAATGCATAAGGTGATACAAGGGTGTTGAGATATGAATCCTTTCTTCATTTGACCTGTTCCATTTCATTTTGTGCGCTGCCCTTGTTATGGTATTGTCTTCATTCTCTCTTATTCCCTTCCAAGTTTGGGAGATAGGCTAATGTACCTGATGTACTTTTGTGTTTTGAATATTTATCGTAATTTTAATCAGTTTGACTACATTGTTTCTCTGGTTATGCGCGAGTTTTAAAGTATTTTCTAATGCTATGTTCTTTTTTCTTTCGTGGGTGTTTTTGGGTGGCAGGGGTTGGGAGTTCCCTATCGGGTCTGATTTGATTTATGATTTTGCTAGTTACATTGAAGTGGATGGTTACATAAATATGGACGTTTCAAATGGGTTCTATTTGAATATAAAAAAAATTGTATTGGGGGATTGCACTCCCTCACAACAGTAGGTACCAGTTTTTGTCTTAAATGCCCACACAAAACTCCAACGCTTTTAAGGATTCCAACATATTATAAGTTTATGTCCTTAATTGCTCTGTTCAGCAAGGAAAAAATCGTCTGCACAGGCAAAATCAATGTCAAAGAAAAATGTTAACGAAGTTGAAAAACCTCAAAATTTACCATAAAAGCATAACAAAACCAAACATCCAATGAAAAAGCATCATGAAATTGACCATAAAAAACTGATGAGATTCTTCGTTCACACGAATCAATCAAATCAAATAAGTAAGAAATCAAGACCAGCAAACTCCGAAATGCAATAAGACCAATATACAATACTAAGCAACAGTATATATATTAAGCTCTCATTAAAGAAGAAAGATCTACCGTTGATTATTAATGGTAACAATATGGACAGGCAGAGGATACTTCATCCGAGGATGATATGGATACGGACAGGCAGAGGATACTTCATCCGAGGATGATATGGATACAAGTAAAAAAACACGCCAGAACTCCACTGACACCTAAAGCTTCAGATGAATAGAAGAACCTATAACCAAATTTAAGAAATAACCAAAATTAAAAATGGATGACCTATATAGGTGCTGAACAGGTGGTTCTAAAATGCCCAGTTTGATTGCAGCGGCTGCAATGCACAACCCGCTTTGCACGACCACGATCTTCTGCACGAACTCGCCTCTTTCTCGGTCGTCCAGGTGGTCGAAGTGATTTTGGTGGGTTTATGATAATCTCACTACCATTGGCTTCATTGTGAGATCCATCTGACATCTCCTTCCAGAGGGTCTTATCAGGAACTGGGTGTATTGTTTGAGAGTACGCTTTGCGATACATAGCCACAGTGAAACAGCTCTCAGTAAAGCGATGAACATTCTGCCTGCAAGAAAGGAGAGCTGCCACAGCATGAGCACAGGGCAGACCATATAGCTGCCATCCTCGACACAGACAACAGCGGTTCCTAATATCCACAATATTCGTTCCTTCATGTGATATAACTTCAAATTCAGCTTCATTTGCTCGAAGCACCTGATAAGTACGTGCACGCTCAAGAGCCTCCGACACACGCCTTTCAGCCGTGGGCACAAGTATAGATGTCCACTGCATACTAGTTTCACGTCGCTCATTGAACCAAGTCATTAGTTGCCTACGGATACACTCCATCATCTGAATTATTGGAAGCCCAGAAGCTTCAAGTATCCAACCATTTAAAGCTTCAACTATGTTAGCAGTCAGGTGGCCGAACCGGGTTCCCTCAAAATATGCTGTTGCCCACAATCGAGGCGGGACTCGTCGAATCCAATAGGCAGCTTCTTGAGAAATCTCTTCAATCTCGAGAATTTTTGCTTCAAATTCAATGACGGTAAGAGCATTAGCAGCTTCCCAGAGAAGGTTAACAAGCATAGTATTGTTGAACTCCTTCCGAAAACTCTCACTGAGATGACGCATACAGAAACCATGGAAAGCAGTTGGGAAGTTCGCTTCCACTCCATCTACAATACTCTTCTGCCTGTCAGACAAGATCGTGAGCCTTGGCATGTTTTCCGTGTTAATTTCAAGAAGGTTATGCAGTTCCGAAAGGAACCACATCCAGTTTTCATCATTTTCCTCGTCCACAACCCCAAATGCAACAGGGAACAGAGCACCATCTCCATCAAAACCTGTAGCAAAAAGCAAGGTCCCAAGGTACTTGCTTTTCAGAACAGTCCTATCAAGTCCAAGGAGTGGTCGGCATGCATTGAGAAACCCATATATTGATGCTTGAAATGAAATAAAAAGGCGTTGGAAACAGTTATCCACTGGATTCACATAGACTGATGCGATACTCCCTGGATTTGTCCGTCTGATTTGGTCACAGTACTGTGGAAGAAGGCGATAATCATCTTCAAATGACCCACGGAGGGCAGCCATGATCCGTTCCTTCCCTCTCCATGCTTGCTTGTATGATAAGGCGATTCCATGAACACGGTGAATCTCTTCCAGTATCTCCTTCGGCTTGCAATTAGGGTTTTCTCTAAGGCGCTGTTCCACAGAATTTGCAACCCACTGAACTGAAGCCTGTTGATGCCCAAGATGAGTGATCCCACCACAAGAATGCTCTGCATGGATGGTCCTAATTGTGAAGGTAGGAACACCAGGAAGCTTTGCAGCATGAATTCGCCAATGGCATCCCTCACTTGCGCACTTGGCAGTAAAACGAGTCTTATCAGACTTGACCGTCTGTATCTCGAAATGAAGAGCAATTGCAGTGTCCCTCAATGCCCTACGACAACTCTTGACATCAGGAAACTCTTGCCCCACCATTAATTCATGTGTAGGGGTAGGAATTAGGGTTCGCGACTGAACAACAGAAGGAGTGAGCACAAGCTGCGCCTGCTGAACAGACATATCAGAAGGAGACATGGCACCCATATCATGATTCTGGTCCACAACAAGCTCTAAATTCTCATCAATGTCATGTGTCTCTACAAGAGCCAATTCATGATTCTCTGGTAAACCTAATTCCTGATTCTGAGCAGTGAGAGTTGAATGAGAATCATGGATATCCCCACCAGTATCATCTTGATCAACATTAGGGACACCATCTTCACCTGGATTTATTCCATTCTCATGACCAAGTTCATATTTATCCTCTTGTTCGTCACTGTGATCATATCCATTTTCATGTACATTACCATGATCTTGACCGTGTTGAAGAGCCATTTCATGATCAATAGCATGCGCCTGAGCCAGCAAAAATTCACGGTCATGGGCATGCCCATGACCTAAACCGAGATTATGATCACCAGTCTGCCCTAAATCCAAATTATGCTCATGGGTCTGCCCCAATCCTAAAGTATGATTCTGTCCAATTACCATATTATGGCCATGCCTTAGGCCCAAATGTTGGTTCTGAACCAGTGGTAAATCCCGCCTTTTTCCAAGGATCATATCATTATTCTCCATGAGTAATCCAATCAAATATCAACCACAAAACCTCAATCCCAAACAATGCTCAACTTGGACCTCAAAACTATGCTTTACTATTTTGCCTTCCCAAGAAACCTGTGTAGGATAAAGTTTGGGAATCAAAATCTGCTTGCTAATGTATAGTAATCACCTACCAATACATCATCAAAGAAAAATAGTAAAAGAAACCATCATCACCTATCTATCATCTTCCACTTGTGCTTTCTCGCCGTTCCTCTTCAGAACTATTGCACTCACAGAAAAGTTGAAATTCAAATTGCATTGGATATTTCCCATTGTATATGGGTCTTTCACGAACAAACTATTAAATTGAAAAGAGACACAAAATCTGCATCACACAAAATTGATAACCCACAGAAAAGCATCGCATTTGAAACAAACAAAAAACCTCAGTCTGCTTGCTGAGAAAAGTACAATGAAATTTCAACTCAAACATTATGCATCACGTGGGACCCATAAAACGAAGAACTTAAAAACAGTACAGCTACAACTAAATGGCTCAGTTGAAACATAAAGAGTCGGAATTTTCTTTTGGTTTCCCACAGTTTCATCAGCAACCAAACGGAGGACAACAAACGGATCAAGTCCATGAAAATAAGTACAGCAAGCATAAGCACAAACCATACCCAATCTGACGACCAACCGAAAAACCCCTAAATTGAATGCCAAATGATAGCTCCAAAAAAGCAGGCAGCTTCGAATGCCAAGAATACAAATACAATCTGCAGAATAGAGAGACAAGAAAGCGGATCGTTAGAAAAGTGATCAAACAAGCTGTTAAAAACCCAGATTAGGGTTAGGTACATATGTAAATCTAAACATATATATAGATTTTCATTTGTGAAGATAAAAAGACTGTGTGTGTGTGGGTGTTTGTGTGTAAGTTTGAATTTCGGCGGGTAGGAGAGAGAGAGAAAGAGAGGTGAGGGTGGGGGGGAGAGGAAATTACCAGAAAGAGGGAAGGGTAGAGAAGGGGAAGAACTGAGAAATCTAGGGGCAAAGGGGCGAGATCGGGGTACCGGAGATGTTGAAGGTCAAAAGCTAGGGCTTTTTAGGCCTCCTCCTAAACGAGGGCGTTTATGTCATCTCCTTTCTCTCTTATCGCTTCCTTTTTATTTTGTCTCTATTTCACCCCTCCTCACTCTCTCTCTCCACCCCCACTTGGGCCCACCTAATACTTAATTATTTTTAAAGGCTAATCTCACTTTTCACCCTAAAAGATATTTTATTTTTTAATTTATACCTTCAAATATTAAAAATTTTAATTTGTAACATCAATGTTATAAATTAGTATCAATGTTAACCTGACTTAAATTGAAGCACATAAATAATAAGTGCTTCAGGTATGAGATTATGTTTAAATTCACATACTATTAATGCCTCATGTGAGTTATGATTGAGTTAACCTTTATATGGTTAATGCAACTATATTTTTGATATATCAAACCATATCAAATTGGTCACAAACGAAGATTTGTAGTAATAGACATTCCTCATTTTCATGCTTGAAGCACTTGCACTCCACGCGCTTCTATTTATGATGAAAAATTAAACAGCAGTTTAAGTTAAGTCTATATTTTTGCTAATTTATAAAATTGAGGATATAAATTAAAATTTTTAATGTTTGATGGTATAAATTAAGAATTAAAACATACTTTAGGGTGCAAAGAGAGATTAGACCTTATTTTTATCAATAATGTCAACATAATCATAAAGTATTAATGAAATTTAGTAAGATTAATTAATTCAATAATTCACTTTAATTGATAAGAAAAATTATTCAATCGTGCATTGCTAAGGAAAAAAATGTTTTCTATGACTAATGTTTTACTATTATTTATTAAAGAATGGATATATGCTACTCTTAATTTTTATACACTTACATTATTTTTTTATTGAAAAATTATGAATTTGAGAAATTCAAACTTATTAAACCACTATCTCACGCATAAAGGCAATTTTTGGACTTGAATTCATGACTTTAGCAACCTTATATCATGGCTCTAAAACCCGAGAACAGTATAACCCTAGTGCATAATAAATATAACCAAAATGTCGGTTTATTTATATAATAATACATCCGCCTTTTATAATACCTTGTAGTCTCGTGTAACTACTCTTATCAGACATATATTATGAAATACCCATTTTTTTTTTATAGTGGACTCTACTAAAATTCATAATAATTGATCTATAAAAAAAAAAAAAAAGAAAAAGTATTTAGAAGAGATTGAGTTCATGGCAGAGCCAAAAAAATTGTTAGAGTTGACACTTTAACAAATTTTAATTTTTTTCTACTAATCATTGAAAATGATATAATATATTTATATTTATTATATTATATTTGATACTTAAAATTTTAATAAATAAAAGGCCAAAAAATCGATATATATAGTGTATGTAATATATATATCTATATAATAAAGTAGTTTACGATTCAAATCTCAAACGATAAACAAAATTACTTTTGCTATTCGCTGTTGAGATCGCTTTAAATTTTACTTTTAAATTAATTCAAAGGTTAATATTAACACCCTAAATTTAATAAGAAAAATAGGGCCCTAATGATGTGTTTGGATTGACTTTTTAAAATTATTTTTAAAAATTATTTCTCATAAATATTTTTTAAAAAATAAATTAGTGTTTGAAACCGCTCCACTACTACCTTTACCACCACTACCACCGTCTCCACTACCGCCGTCGCCACCACCATTATCGTCGCCACCATGATCGCCACCACCATCGCCATTGCCGCCACGATCGCCACTGCCATGACTGCCACTACTACCACCACTATCACTACCACCACCCACCATCATGGTCACCACCGCTGTCGCCGCCGCCACTACCACCATTACCATCGCCCTCGTTGCCACGTACCACAACTATTACCGTCTCCTACCATCACCACTGTCACCACCACCTCTCACCCCTACTATAAATCGATATTTAAATTCCTTTATCTCTTATCTATGTTTGTGATTTGATTTTGAATGTAAATACAAATATGTTTATTATTTATTATTTTTTATTACTTTGTGCCTTCAGACAATAACTAATATATATATATATATATATATNTTTCTATGACTAATGTTTTACTATTATTTATTAAAGAATGGATATATGCTACTCTTAATTTTTATACACTTACATTATTTTTTTATTGAAAAATTATGAATTTGAGAAATTCAAACTTATTAAACCACTATCTCACGCATAAAGGCAATTTTTGGACTTGAATTCATGACTTTAGCAACCTTATATCATGGCTCTAAAACCCGAGAACAGTATAACCCTAGTGCATAATAAATATAACCAAAATGTCGGTTTATTTATATAATAATACATCCGCCTTTTATAATACCTTGTAGTCTCGTGTAACTACTCTTATCAGACATATATTATGAAATACCCATTTTTTTTTTATAGTGGACTCTACTAAAATTCATAATAATTGATCTATAAAAAAAAAAAAAAAGAAAAAGTATTTAGAAGAGATTGAGTTCATGGCAGAGCCAAAAAAATTGTTAGAGTTGACACTTTAACAAATTTTAATTTTTTTCTACTAATCATTGAAAATGATATAATATATTTATATTTATTATATTATATTTGATACTTAAAATTTTAATAAATAAAAGGCCAAAAAATCGATATATATAGTGTATGTAATATATATATCTATATAATAAAGTAGTTTACGATTCAAATCTCAAACGATAAACAAAATTACTTTTGCTATTCGCTGTTGAGATCGCTTTAAATTTTACTTTTAAATTAATTCAAAGGTTAATATTAACACCCTAAATTTAATAAGAAAAATAGGGCCCTAATGATGTGTTTGGATTGACTTTTTAAAATTATTTTTAAAAATTATTTCTCATAAATATTTTTTAAAAAATAAATTAGTGTTTGAAACCGCTCCACTACTACCTTTACCACCACTACCACCGTCTCCACTACCGCCGTCGCCACCACCATTATCGTCGCCACCATGATCGCCACCACCATCGCCATTGCCGCCACGATCGCCACTGCCATGACTGCCACTACTACCACCACTATCACTACCACCACCCACCATCATGGTCACCACCGCTGTCGCCGCCGCCACTACCACCATTACCATCGCCCTCGTTGCCACGTACCACAACTATTACCGTCTCCTACCATCACCACTGTCACCACCACCTCTCACCCCTACTATAAATCGATATTTAAATTCCTTTATCTCTTATCTATGTTTGTGATTTGATTTTGAATGTAAATACAAATATGTTTATTATTTATTATTTTTTATTACTTTGTGCCTTCAGACAATAACTAATATATATATATATATATATATTGCATAAGAACTTTTTATTGATGTTTTTGGAAATTTCTTTCTTTATCTAAACAATCATACTATTAATCATTCAGTTATCACCAATTTTCCCAAGTTTCATAACTGATTTTGTTAATTCAAGTTGTGACACTAGAATATATCTTGAATTTATCAAAATGTAATTATAATGCGTCCGAAATATAATCAAAAGTTATTAATCGCTTATTTGTTTTACTTATTAGTCTTTCCTAATTGATATTAAATCGTACATTAGAATAGACATAATTTGAACTACTCAAGAAATACTTAAAACTCTATATAGTAATTATAATTAGAAAAATACGAGGGTGGCCTCACTTGGCGTTCATCATTCTGTAATAATTCTTGTAAAAAAAGTAATTTTAGCCAGCGGAGGGTAATAAAGGCAAATACGCTTAAGTTTTGAAGGGTATATTTAATGATAGAGGGACGAGGAGGGTATATGATAAAAAAATATGAATAGGGGCAATCCTATTAAACACAAAAGAAAAGGGTAATTTTGTATCACCACCTCTTCTTTATGTGGTATTCTCTAGAGTTTCTATCAAATTCAAGGGCTAATTTCTCCACCTCTTTGTACACAAGGGTTTTGGAGTCCCCCCCACCCACTAGTGGAGTCACCCCCCAACTACTAGTGACAGCCACTCTAGGACTTTACGGTCTTCATAAAACACAATCATCATAATAAATCTTATTTTTTATGCTTAGGAAAAAAAAAATCAATAATACTACTTTTCCTTCCAAACAAAATTATCGAGTCGTGTTAAATTTTCACTAAGACAATTTCTCATATTTTTATAATTTGCTTTAAAAAAGTTCAGGACTGGTGGTGGTGGTGGCGGTGACGGTAAAGAAAAAAATCTCACCACTTGAGTGTTTAGTTTTTGATATATCAATTGGCAGAGGGTAACGACGTTTTAGGGTAAAGGTAATATAAGAAAAATTAAGAATTCTTTAGAACTAATTGTGAGAATTAGAACTTAATTTTTGTAATATAAAATTTATAGGACTTAATCAATTTTTTTTAAAAGATGAAAAGTTTGACTTTTTTGTATTTTTTCTACCCTGCAAATTATTTTATACATTTCTTATATTATCCAAATTATCTTCTTTTTTTTTTCATATTTAAATATCAAGTGACAAGTTTATGATAAAAAATTATTAACAATTTAGATGTTGTTTGCTCGAAGGATCATATAAAAACATATTAAATATTTTAGAGACCAAAATGATGCAACTGAAATATTGTGAATCAAAATGAGACAAAATTTCATAGTTTAAAAATCTTTAGTGCAATTAACGTTATACATATTTACACCACATAATAATGTTAATGTGATATAATTATTACACCCAATATTTATTTTCAAATTTTTGTAGTTATTGGTTTGGTCTATCAATTGGTCGGATTTTATTGAATTGACCCTCTACGGTCTGCCCGATTTAATCACAGTAATCAATACCACTAATATTTCTATATATTCCAATGTATATGAAATTCATTGTGCAATTTTAATTCCACCATCGCCAATTTTGACTTGGTAATACTTTCCCCACCTGGCATACCGTGTTGCTCGGTTTTACTTCACTCAATTTTTTTTGTATAATAAAAACAATCAAACAGGGGTAATTTTTTAAACTCTTTAAATATTCAAGCTGAGTACTCACTCACCCGCCGCATCGCTCGATATGAAATAAAGTTTTTTGATAAACATGCATAGAGTCGTACACACAAGAAGTCTAATTTACATGAGATAAGTGTAACTGAATAGAGCGAGAGAGAATTTTCTGAGACCTACTAAATCACAACATCTAGACAATTACTGACTGAACGAGGATCTAATGAGCATTAATTACTCGTTTATAATATAAGAAAAAAATTTTAATGGTAAATAAAGATCAAGCATAACCTAAAGAAAAAAATTTAAGCTTGGCAACCCATCTTGGACTAAGTTTGCACGTGCCAAAATCCGAAAAGCTCGACCCGATGAATCACTTGTATTCATGAAAGTCAATGTTAAATTGTAGTGAGAAAGAAGTGGTTTTTGTCTCTGTTAATTGGACAGACGGTCGTGCTTGGAAAATTGGACACCATGTTGAATTATTGATACTAATCCATGCTGACCAACGCGCAAACGTCATCCACTGAACGCTGACAAAGTTTTTCAAATTTGCTTTCTTGTAAGACTACTATACGACGTGGGGCCTTAAATTGTGTGGAATAATACAGGTTTGTGCCAAATATTTTTAGATAAATTTTACTGACACCTTTTAGATTTAAGTCATATTTTGTTGATATCTCTTCTAGTTTTTAAAATATCACTGTACACCCTTATAATTTATATAAACGTTTCACAAATTACCCTTGGAGTGATGTGATGATTTATTTTTTTATGAATTATCAAATTTACCCTTAGCCATTTGTACTAATAAGTTTAAAATAGTAGTAAATATCATTTTAATATTAATTAAATTAAATTAAATACTAATTGGATTAGATAGAATGTTTTCTACAAAAAAAAATGTATCAAACAAAATGCTAATTTGCTGTTAATTTTAAAAAATGGTATTAGTTGAAAAAAACTAAATATTAAATTTAAAAATTAAATGTTAATTTTATAAAATTAAATGAAGCTATCTCATCGGGGTCTGATTAGTCGACTTAAGCTATGCACTATTCAAACGAAAGAGAAATCACCATTAGGTATTGATTTGATAAAATTGAATGTTAATTTGAAATTCAATGAAAAAAAATGATGTTAGTTTGATAAATTGGATGTTAAATTGATGAAATTAAATGTTAATTTGGAGTTAATTTAATGAAATTGAATATTGATTTAGTATCAATTTTATAAAATTGAATATCGATTTGATGAGATTAAATATTAGTTTGTTAAAATAAAATGATAATTTTATAAAATTTAAGATTAATTTCCCGTTAATTTGGTAAAATCTTGTATTAATTTGACGAAATTTAACATCAAATTAAATGTTAATTTGATATTGATTTGGTTGGTGCTAATTTCATGAAATTGAATATTACATTCGTATTAATTTAATAAAATTGAATGTTAATTGGATGAATTGAATAATAATTTGATGAATGTGAATGTTAATTTGGAAAATTTAATATTAATTAGATAAAATTTAATGTTAATTTGATGCAAATTTGATAAAATTAAATACTGATTTGGTATTAATTTAATAAAATTCAATATTAAATGGATAAAATTGAGTATTAATCAAACAAAATTAACGGTCAATTTGATGTTAATTTGATAAAATTATTGATTATTTTTGTATTAATTTGAATAAGAGTAATTAAATAAAATGAGAGTTCTAGTAAAAATAATTTAGTAAAATTACATATTCTATTAGGGAACAAAAATTGATGGGGGGGTATGTAATGATATTTCAAAAATTATAGGGGATGTCAGTAAAATATAATTTAAATCTACGAGGTGTATGTGAAATTTGCCCCATAAAATACTCCACATATACCCAATTCATTTATTAATTCATATCGTGTGATATTGAGTTCATGTCATATATAAACTGTATATAACTAATATATAAATAAGTCGTGTTATCTATTTCTTCTAATTGATTTTATTTATGTTCGATTCATTTATTAATTGAGTCGTGTCGAATTTAATCATTTATCTATTTCTTCTAATTGATTTTATTTATGTTCGATTCATTTATTAATCGAGTCGTGTCGAATTTAATCATTTATTAAATAAGTGGTTTAAGAAAGATCGAAACCCCGTCATATTAGAAAACGTGTCAACATCTTACTATGACGTGGCTAAAACTTTGTTAAAACTTATATATATATATTTTATAAATGATAACAATGTTTTATTATAATTATGGCTCCATAAATTATAACTTAATCCCTCAAAGTATTATTATAAATATACCGAAACTCTATCTTATCTCAGATAACCACAGTCCACAGAAACATTAGTCCAAAAGTGCATCTCAGCCATGGTAGATCTCGACCTCTCAATATCATTCCTCTTCTGCCTTCTTCCATTACTACTGCTCTTGTTCTTCGTCAACTCTAAATCCCTTTTCACTAGCTTCTTCTCATCCAATTCCACTACGCTCCCCAAATCATACCCAGTGATCGGATCATATTTCGCAATCTTGGCGAACAAAGACCGGGGAATCCAATGGATCACAGACGTAGTTACAAGCACACCCACTTCCACCTTCGTCCTCCACGGACCTTTTGGTAAGCGCCAAGTCTTCACAGCAAACCCCTCCAATGTCCAACACATCCTCAAGACCCATTTCCATGTCTACCAGAAAGGCGAAGTTTCTCGAAGAACTCTCAAGGACTTGCTCGGCGACGGTATCTTCAACGTCAACGGCGACACCTGGAAGTTTCAGAGACATGTCGCAAGTCAGGAATTCAACACCAAGTGTCTTCGTAAATTCGTCGAAACTGTTGTAGATACTGAGCTCTCCGATTGCCTTATTCCGATCCTCTCCCTCGCCGCTTCTAACAAAACTGTTCTTGATTTTCAAGACCTACTCCAAAGATTTGCGTTCGACAACATATGTAGGATTGCTTTTGGGTACGATCCTGCTTGCTTGTTACCATCTCTTCCCCAGTCGAAGTTCGCCGATGCTTTTGATGAAGCGGTTCAGTTCAGTGCTGAGAGAGGCAGTGCACTTCTTCCTTTAATCTGGAAAATGAAAAAATTCTTCAATATTGGATCTGAAAAGAGACTTAGAATGGCTGTAAACAAAACTCGTGAATTTGCTAAAGAAATTATCAAAGAGAAGAAACAAGAACTCAACAAAAAATCGTCACTGGATTCTGTTGATCTTTTATCAAGATTCTTGAGTTCTGGTCACTCCGAAGTTTTTGTCGCCGATATTGTCGTGAGCTTTATATTGGCGGGCCGTGACACTACATCAATGGCTTTGACATGGTTCTTCTGGTTGCTCTACAACCACCCAGATGTCGAACATGAGATTCTTAGAGAGATCGGAGAGATATCAGAAGAGTCAGTTTATGATGAAGTGAAAGACATGGTTTATACACATGCTTCGCTATGTGAAAGCATGAGGCTGTACCCACCGGTTCCTCTGGATTCAAAAGAAGCTACAGAAGATGACAATTTGCCAGATGGAACTGCAGTGAAGAAGGGTACGGAGGTGGCTTACCATCCCTATGCAATGGGGAGGATGGAGAAGTTGTGGGGCCCAGACTGGGCTGAGTTCCGTCCCAAGAGGTGGTTGGAAAGAGACACGACCACCGGAAAGTGGAGCTTTGTGGCGAGGGATCCGTATATGTATCCGGTGTTTCAGGCGGGGCCAAGGATTTGTTTAGGGAAGGAGATGGCTTTCTTGCAGATGAAGAGGGTGGTTGCTGGTGTCTTGCGGCAGTATAGGGTGGTTCCGGTGGTGGAGGAAGGTGATGGGCCTGTTTTCCTGTCGCCCTTGTCCATGAAGATGAAAGGAGGTTTGCCAGTGAGAATTGAGGAAAGGGGGGAGAAGTTTTAAATTATGTTTGCTTAATCGTATTGATGGTGTCAAGGTAAGGGTAATATTATTTGGACTTAAAAATTTGATCTAATTTAATGGTATAATGTCATTATGTATTGTCAAACTTATTACCGAATTGTAGATTGTCGATCTAACTTCTGCATCCTCACGTGGGTCATTCTAATTAATTGTTCAAATAGTATGATGTTGTATTGGATATTTACTTAGGACTCACCCTTAATGTCACCGGATTAAAGAAGGGATTAGTCGAAATGTGCACCGGATTAAAGAAGGGATTAGTCGAAATGTGCAGTAAATTGATATGAAAATTCTTGACAATTAAACAAAAAAAAAAAGAAGGGAAAAAGCATTGGATCTAGGCCTTTTTTGGCCTCGGATCAGATTTAGATCATTTAAATTTTGAATCTGGGATTTTAATTTTAGTCAAGTCTCCTATTCGACAAGTTTAATGCAATCGAGAGAAACCCAAGTATTTGGTGTTGTTCTGAAGTAGATTCAACTGCAACTGGCAATAGAAGGCACTCCTTTGTTCTTGCTAGACGTTGCTCGAGAAGAGGATTCATGATTTGTTTTAGATTCATCAATTGGCTAAACGCTATGTTATATTTATTGAGAGTGTTCCTTAAATTTCTGCCTTCTTGTCTTGTTGCTTCGACAAAAGAGTCTTCCGCAAAATACAAATGGGAAGGAATTGGGTTTCTTCTTCGGATTTTGATTCCCGACATTCTGCCCTCACTTATCTCCCTGCTAATCTTCTTAGAGGAAACATATGCGAAAAATAAAAATAGATAATAGGATTGATGATACCTGAAAAATGACGCCACTCTATATCGAAAATCTGGTCAAGTAATTGAACTATCTTGAAGCCATAAGGCGAAGATTATTTGAGGTAAGAAGCCCAAGTTGGCCTAGGACGACCTCAAGGAGAACCGTTCAAATCATTTTATACAACCCCGAAGAGGATTAACGTCGAGAGATCAGGATTCTGACTGAGTTGACCTCCTTATGAACCAGCTAACCCCAATATGGAGAGTTCACCCGAAAGCACACTCAACAAAAAACAGACTAAACTAGAGGTGCGCGAGATCGTTGCATGTCCAAACTGAAAGACATGTCATTTTGCAACTATAGCATGTTCTAGAAGGCCTCATCACTTTTGGGGAGATTAACCGACCTAGGAAATATCAACTCAAATGACCCAAATATTCCATCAACAAAATTCTAACAAATTAGAAGATCACTTGATGGTGAAATCATCATGACTTATAAATACTAAGGCCCTTATTCGTAAGAGGGCAAGGGAGAAATATTGTAATCAACCATTCTTCTCCAAGTAATAAACGAACTCTCCAGGAGCAAGAAATTTTATTAGAGTGGACTAGCCAAGTTTCACAGCTGGTGAACTACAATAATTTATGTGTCCTCTTTTTCCCTAGCTCAATCTCTTTCTCTGTTTTACTGTAACACTTGCCGGAGCTTCCTAGCTCTATCTCGAATTAATCACTTACCTTTATCAAGCCTTGAACTTTTCAGTTCAAGCACCTGACTTGTATTCTGAATCCAAACACCATCAAGGATAAAGTGTCCCCTTGTCTAATTCTACTTTTGCACTTAATTCTACATTGAGGCTCTCCATTATCCACTACTGTGAATTGGATTGTGAACACAAATTGATTTATTAAATGGATCCATTTTGAGTGAAAGTCAAGATTTCTTGTCACATTCGACCTTATCATAGGTCTTGTTTAATCGACTTTAATGGCCATGGTTTGGTATTTCCCCTTTCTTTTTGTTTTTAGAAAATGGAGTGTTTAAGTAGCCATTGTAACGTTGTCTTGAATTTGTCTACTGAGAACAAATGTGGTTTGGTTTGGTGTGATGAGGTGATTTAGGGGGAGGCTAATTGAGTCTCTTTGCCGTCACTTTCGAGAAGTTTTTGTAGACATACAGCGATCGAAGATTATGTTTGTTGTAATAGGTTAGAGTGGTGGATTGCTTTCTGATGGTGTTAGAGATCGAGAAACGTGAGCTTAGAGTGCAGAACGAGTTCTGTGTGAAGCGAACAAGTTGCATGTGGGTATGTGTGTGTGCATGCACACGATAACAGTAACAAGAACACAAAGTGAATAAAGGATTCATCAAGTTGAAGCGTTAGGTTAGTCCCTCTAACGAAGGCTTTTACTCCTCTAGTTTATAATTTTTTATATCTTGAAAAAGAAGATAGATACAATTTTTTAAGGATACAAATGCACAATGTTTGGGTAAGATAAGGGTTTGCCTATTTATACACCGGGGTAGAGTGGTCTTCAAGTAATCATGAGATGATTCCCTAGTTTGTTAGGATATTAGAAAAAATATTTGGCCGTTAAAAGTTATATTTCCCAGGTATTTGTTGGATTAAAGCAGATTTTGGTAATTAAAATTTAATTTTGTATCGAGCAAATTTTTGTGGGTTCGTGTTCTACTCTATAAGGAGAATAACGCAGTGTATACACTTGTACAAATCGAGTAAGAAATGAATGATAAAATAGACTTTAAATTAACTGATTTGGATTACAAAATAGAGGTTTTGTAATTTGGGATTTGATATCAATCTCACATTAGTTAAGGATGAAATTATATTTGTGCATATATATGTCAAGTTTACCTTATTGCTTGGGCCCTAAGGAGTACCATATTTTTATGAGCGGAACGAGCGCCTATATGCTATTGCTTCGAGCATATACGTGTGCGCCTGCCCGCCACGACCCGACCGGGCTCGAGTGTGGGTGTGATTTAGACTTATTCTTATCTTTTTGGAGAAAATTTGTTTAACGAATTGGGCTCCAATTTTTTTAATCCTAAATTTAATTTCTGTTATCCGTTAGATTTAAAATTCACACTGGTTCGTATTTTCATTTCCCTCAAATTCTGAATTTTTTAGTCTCTGTATGTTCATAATGAACAATTATTTAATGGTGTCTTCTGAGCTTCATGTGTCTTCTAGATTGTGTTTATTTGCATGGTGGCTGTTTGAAACGGTCATTGATTTGTATATATAAACTAGAGTCATTAGCATTCTACATTAACTTCATTACAGTCATTAAGACATATTTTTGGTATTAGGCAATCTACATATCAGAGAGTACACAACGTTGTTTCTGTTTCGCTAAATAATTAAATTGAAGTGCCACTTTTTGCATTAAGGATATAATGTCAAACACTAGTTTTGATTTGCGAAAAGTTCAATAATAATTTTTGATCTGTAAACGATTTAGTTTATATATTGATTTAATTGCAGATTTATATGTTATTATTTTGTTTTTACTTGTAATTATTTCGTTCTTACTTGTAACTGTTTCATCATTGACCGTTACTATTTTAATCTAAATTATATGATACCAAAAAAAAAAAATCTCAATAAATAATTTTGTTATATTTAGAAAACTATAAACAACAGTATAACATGTAAATTTAAAATTGATGACGTGAGCTCATTTGTAATTTATGAGCCTGTAAGCTCATATTTAATTTATGAGTTGAAGAACTCATCTTTTACTTTTTGTCATTTCAAAAATTTACACAAGGATGAGCCAAAAACTTGTTATTTTATTGAAAATATCCTTATTATAGAAGGATCTTACTGAAAGAATTTCTTAAGGTGTTTTGCATTCCACGAATGAGGCAAGATTTTTTCTTCCTCAGTCTGCAACTTATAGTTTCTAGGTCTAACTACCCTTGTTATGATATAAGGGTATTCCCAATTAGGAACCAACTTTCCATGAGTGGGGTCCTTTCTTGCTAACAAAAATTTTCTAAGTACCAAGTCTCCTATCTTGAAACTCTTGTGTCTGACCTTCCTATCGTAGTACCTGACTGTTTTCCTCTGATAATTCCTAATACGACACAGAGTTATTTCTCTCTTTTCTTCCAAGAGATCCAGGTTCAACAGAAGGGACTCATCATTGTGTCCATTGTTTGCGAACTCAGTCCTAGGGGATGGGAGCCCAATCTCTACAGGTGCCACTACTTCAGTTCTGAAGGTCAAGGCAAACGGTGTTTCTTGAGTTACTGACCTGACTATTGTTCTATATGCCCAAAGTACATCTGAGAGGTGTTCCACTCATTTACCCTTTAGATCTTCCAGCTTGGTTTTCAGGGCTGCTTTTATGGTTCTGATGGTGACCTACTCTTGTCCATTAGAATGAGGATGGGCTGGGACTGAAAAGTAGTTCTTTATCCCGAGCTCGGCACATAAATTTTTGAACTTTGGATTGTCAACCTGCTTCTTGTTGTCGGAGACAATTGCCCTGAGAATACCAAACCTGCAGATAATTGATTTTCATATGAAATTCTAGACTTTTTGTTACGTAATCATTGCTAAGGGTTCTATTTCTGTCCATTTGGTGAAGTAGTCTATCCCAATGATGGCAAATTTACACTGTCCCACGTTGGTGGGATGGGGCCCAAGTATATCCAGACCCCATTGCTGGAAAGGCCATGGGCTAACCACCGAAGTTAAGAGCTCTGGTGGGCAATGAGGGATGTTGGCGTGCACTTGATAGACCTTGTATCTTTTGATCAAATCTATTGTATCCTTGAGCATCGTGAGCCAATAATACCCCTGCCTTAAAGTCTTCCCCGCCAAAGTTTGAGCTCCGATATGGTTGACGCAGACTCCCTCATGGATTTCTCTGAGTATGTAATTGACGTCTTCGTCCCCCACGTATTTAAGAAGAGGTGTTGAAAAACCTCGTTTATATAAGTTTTCCTACAAGATAGAAAATTTGGCTGACCTGGTTCTTAGCTTTAGAGCTTCTTTGGGATCTTCTGGCAAAGTTCCATGCTAAAGATACCTTAGGATGGGGTCCATCCAGCTTGCTAGGGTTTGTATAGGCAGCACTTCTTTATCCCCAATGCGACAGTTCTGCTAGGTGCTCCACTGGAATTAATCTGTCCAAACTTTCATGCGAAGCTATTGACAACCTCGCCAAGGCATTTGCTCGCGAGTTCTCAGCTCTTGGGATATGTCTAATCTTAACTTGCACGAACTTTTTGATCAACTCCTAAACCTTTTTGAGGTAAAAGACCATTTTCTCGCCTTTAGCTTCATCAACTTCCTCTATCTTTTTTACTACCAGCTGGGAATCACTGTAGATCTC